TCCGCCTGAGTAAAAGCAGGCACTGTCAGGATGGCTCTGAGGTCTTCTCGGTCCCTCCACTGCCACTCCCTCTGCAGGACCTTTGCACCCCTCTCCCCTGTTGAGGGTGGTCCTACTTGTTGTTCTACATACCTGGCTCCTTTCTTCCTCCCAGGCCTTCTGTGCTGATTTTTGTCCCTCTGTCACCGAAGACTGTCCCCATACCATTTCCAGCTACATTAACACCCTGTGTAAAACCCTGTGACTTATGTGTTAGTCTTGTAATCTCTCAATTTTTCTACACATTCTGGGCCATTCCTAAACCTGTGAAATCTTCTCCAAACCTCAAACTTCTACCCACCTCCTCAGACATCTGGTCTCAGTGGGAGTGTTAACACAGATAACCTCCACTTCCTCCTGTGTCTCCACTCTGAGGCGGTGTGTGTGGGGAGGACAGCAGAAGACCAGGTTGAGCGCAGAAATTTGGGAGCTGTGGTCCTGCCCAGAGGTGACCACCCGCTGAGAATACTGGGCATGCACCTGAAGCTCGAGAGATGGGTGCACCGGTGCCTGCCTAGGAGGCCCTGGCCAACCACTCTGATCTGTGTCCTGTCCTGGAGAAGGGGCACGGGAGCCTGAGCTCGGGGTCCTAGAAACCAGAAAATGCTGTTAGTACAGGCTGCACATCTCTGATCCCAATCCTTGGACCGGAAGTGTTTGGATCTTCAATTTTTTCAGATTTTGGCATATTTGCACACATAGTGAGCTACTTTGGGGATGGGACCTTAGTCAAAATATGAAATTTACTTCTGTTTTGGTCATGCCTGAGCCATATATCCCAAAAGTAATTTTTATACGATATTTTTAATGACACTGTGTGTTTTTTCTGTTTTGTTTTTTGTACTGGGGATCAAACTCAGGACCTTGCACTTGCGAGGCCAGCATGGCGCCACTGAGCTAAAACCCCGGCCTGAGGCTGTTTTGACTGCACACAGTTACAAGAGCTCAGGTGTGGAATTTTCCGTGATAGTATCATATTGATGTTCAAAAAATTTTGGAGGGCCGAGGATTTAGCTCAGTGGTTTTGCCGCCTGCTGCGCAAGCACAAGGACCCAAGTTTGATCCCTGGTACCAAAAAAAAAAAAAAAAAATTTGAATTAGGGCTGAGAGAGTTGCTCAGTGGTATGCACTTGCCAAGCGTGTGCAAGGCCCTGGGTTTGATCCACAGCACTGAATTAAAAAGTATAGAATTTTGTAGCATTTTGGATTTCAGATTTTTGGATAAGAGATCCTCAGTCTGTATTGAGAAGTCATAAAGCAAAGATTGTCAACTCACCAGCGGATGAGAAAGGGAGAAGAGAGCTCTCTCTGGGATGTAGCTGATGTGTTTACAATGTTTATCTTAAAAACCTGGCTTAATAGGGCCGGGCATTTAGCTCAGTGGTTTCGCCACCTGCTGTGCAAGCACAAGGACCGAGTTTGATCCCCGGTACCAAAAAAAAAAAACAACGTGGCTTAATAAACACAATTTCCATTGTTTTCTGAGTGTAATAATTTAAGAATTTTTCTTTGGTTAAAGACTATATAGAGTTTAGTTGTGGTCATTAACACTGTTTCCTGAGCTTTTTTTGTTTCTGTTTTTGGAACTGGGAGTCAAACTCAGGACCTTGCGCTCTCGAGGCAGGCAGCGGCACCACTGAGCTAAAAATCATCGGCCCTATTTCCTGAACTTATAAGAGCTCTAAAGATGTTCTTTAATTCTTATCAGTGCAGTTACACTATATAAAACTGTTTTTAAAAATCTAAACTTTGATTTAAAAATAAAAACTCAGTAAATATATGTAAAGATTTCTATATAGCTGTCATGCTAATTATTGCTAATCTTACAGATATTGAATGTATTTGTGTTTCCCAAGTGTACAGATCTTCTAGAATCCAGAATTTAGAAAATCATCATAAATCCAGACTAAAGTAGTTTATGATGACAGATGTATTCAGATTTATGTCTATGTGATTGTTATGTACTGTGTCATGGTAGATGTGCCTAAATAATATATAGTCCAGGCAGTGTCACCCTAAAGAGGAAAGATGGGGCATTTGTCATCTATAAAGTACATCTGTAAGCAAATGTACTCTGCTTAGCCACTTTATTTAAAAAGTAACAAATTTAGATAAAAATTTATGTCACATAACATTTTATAATTGGATAAAGGTAATATATTGATGTTATTTTATACTAAAATGGGAATTTAAATATATTCTTTTGGGGGTTTTTTGGTACGGGGATCAAACTCGGGACCTTGTACTTTTGAGGCAGGTGGCAGAACCACTGAGCTAAATCCCCGGCCCACAGCATGGCTTCTAACAGACAATCTAAGCAACAGGTTAAGATGGAGGTCGTCACCTGTAGTACAGAGGTAGTGCAGTTAGAGACAGGGGAGCTGAGGGAGTCACTCTCTTCCACCCATTTGATTCTAAACAGCACCCTATCACTATTTCTCCTTCCGCCGTCCTAAGAGAGATGAAAACATAAAATAATGAAAGCCCAGGAGCTCTCTGGTGCTCTAGGCTGGCGCACATGCGCGTCAGGTCCCCTGGCCTGGGCCTCAGGCCCATTGACCCTATCCCCACCTCGGAAGGGCTCACAATTGTACCGCATCGCCTAAGTGAGACCAAAGTCAGAGTGAATTTGGAGACAGGCATGCGTGTTGAGAGCCCCTGGGATGGCACAGCTCCCTGTCAGTCATTCTTGTCCTCACACCTAGAGATTCAGGGGAGGCACCTGGGCTGAGGTGCACGGCCCTCAAACCCCAGAAGCCTGATTAATGGGGGGCTGTTGTGTGCTGTGATCTGTCTGTGCCACAACTTGTCAGCTCGGACTTGCCCTGACCACACCCCCATGGTCTTCGTTACACGTAGCTGCTTGCCGCTTGCTGACAATTCTTTGCTCTTCATACGCAGGAGCCTAGACTATACCTGACTGTTCCACAGTAGCAGGGAGAGAATGACACTGACCTGATACTACTGGCGACCATGATCAAAGAGGTAGCTGCTCTCTAGTCGTACTTTATATTTTCAAAGAACCCAATACTCAAAAAAAGGTTATAGTAGCTAAGATTAAACCCTACCATTCCCACTTTAAACCTGCTGCAACAGTCCTGGGTGCAACTGGGGCTTAAAAACCAAAGCTAAGAAAGGTAACTGGGCTAAGTTTGGCCCTTGCTCTTCAAGATCGGCCAGGACCCAGGGCATGATAGGGCTCCTCTAAAAGGATCCTAAGCTTGGCATGGCATACATCTGTAGTCCCAGTGCTTGGGAGGCTGAGGCAGGAGGATCACTGTGAGTTCGAGGCCAGCCTGAACTGCATAGTGAAACCCTGTCTCCAAAAGCCAAAAAATGAAAATAAAAAATAAAAAGGATCCTATGTCCTGGTGAGTCACCCAAGCTCCCCAGCAAGGAAATTGTTGAACCCCAGAGGACAAGAATCAACTAGCATACATCGTGCTAAAAGGAGGGACACTGAAGTGGGTCACCAAAGGAAGCAATGTGGTCAAAGACTGTGACCCATCCTGGCAGACAACACAAGTGATTAAAACAAAACAAAACAAAGCAAAACCAGAAGAGCCAAGCAGCTCTACCCATAGCCCCAAAAGTAACCCCTAAAGAGCCTTAACTAATCCTAAAAATATATGTATATACATATGAATATATAAATTCATATAGATCTTACTTTGACTTGGTTTTAAACACCTAGGAAAAAAATAAGCAAAAAATATACACAGAGTAAAAATAATAGTAATGGTTTTTGGTTTTCTTTAGTTTCTTTTTTTGGTACCAGGGATCGAACTTGGGACCTTGTGCTTGCAAGGCAGGTGCCAGAACCACTGAGCTAAATCCCTGGCCCAATAGTAGTAATGTTAAATAAAAAGCTAAGTGAGATATAAAAACAAGGCTCCAGCCAGGGATTTAGCTCAGTGGTGCTGGTGCCTGCCTCGCAATCGAAAGGTCCCGAGTTCGATCCTCAGTACCAAAAAAAAAGAAGGCTTCAAACACTACCCCAGTCTCTACTGACGGTCTCCAACTATATACATTGAGCATAAGAAGTTTTTGCTTCCCAGTCCCACTGGTTCTCCCAAAATGTGTCCTTCAGCTTCTCTTAGTATACTCCCATTGTGTTATTTAAGTGTCCTTTCAAGTACCTCTCAGATAAAGAAAGCTTCTTGTATAGGTGTGGCTGTAAAGTAAAAATGATGATATAAATACTCTAGCTACTAATCATTATTGTCTTTGTGTTATAAACTTCTTGTTATCTACTTCAGGCTTTATATATTTATATTATCTGGAGCCAGTCATTGAAAAAGTTCTTCAGGTCTACAAAATAGAGCCCTATAATAAAAGTTTTAATGCGCAACTGTAGAAAAAAATATATATATTTATTTAGTATATTTACTGCCATTGGATGGATCTGGCAGATAGATTCCAGGCTTTTGTGTACAATGAGCAAAGAATTGCAAGTGTACATACAATCATTTTAAAAAGCAGCTGTATTTATTGAAGATCACCGGTAGCTGTGCTCAGGGTAGGTCTGTCCACAAAAATGCAACAGGAACAGAAAAGTGGTGCCAGGACGACAGGAAAATAAAAAGCACACCTAAATCAGGCTTTCAGAATTTGAAGGCCATGCACCCGGCGGGTGCCTCTCACTGCTCTCTGGGGAGACTGACGGGAATGGCTGGTAGGGTGTGGAGTCTGGTTCAGGGGCTCCTAGGGCACAGGACTTTTGCAGCGTTCACTGGGATTAAATTGTGTACCTGAGATGCATCCCATATTTATGAAGCCTTAACAAGTTCGAGTGGGAAATGTTACTGAAGGTCAGGCCAGGAAATCGAACGTGAAAGTGCTCAGGCCTGGAGCTTTACCGATTTCTGGGTCTTTGCCATTTTATTTTCTGCTTCTCTCAGAACAGAGGAAGGAAGACTGGCCCTGAGATGTTGCTCAAACTCTGCTAGGCAGAGGGGCGCGGCCTCCCAGTCCCCATTCATTCACCACTGTCATCGTCAAATAGGAGGACATTGGATTTCTTATTAGGGAAACAGGAAAGAGTCTGGGCTTTTAAATTCCACCTGTTGCACTTGGAGAAACCTGAAAACAGAGGCTAATATTAAAGATAAAAGACCGATACCAAATGTTACTGACTTCCGCCGTTATTTTGGAGACGTCGTGGATATTCTGCTGTTTATTTCTGGCCCCAACTTGTTTGAGAAGCTTATAAAGTGAAGGTTAGACCAAAGCCAGTCCAGGACCTCCCCGGTTAAATCGGGAGCGTCAGCCACCGAGCACAGCAGGCCTGCGTTCCTGCCTCCTCCACGCCCAGCCCAGCGCGGGACCCCGGAAGGGCGGCCCGCCCAGCAGCCGGCCGTCCGGCCGTCGGTCTGTCCGCAGCGCGAAAGCCGCCTTGGAAGGACTCACTGCTGCCCTGGAGTCGACCTCTGTAACTGGAGCGGCGCCCGGACCCGATGCCAGGAGTGCAAACAGCCTCCAGAAAGGCGGAGTTCTTCCGAAGAGCAGCAAGAGCCGCAGGAGACGGCCTTGCACCTTCCAGTCCGAGCCCGGCTCAGCCGGCTGAGTACTCGCTTGGCCCCGCTGTCAGGGCAGCTTGAGCACGCGGAGAAACCTGAGTCAGCTTTGAACAGTCTGTGTACAGTGACAGGTACAGTCGTGCGTCGCGTTGGTGTGAACCTGACGGTAGGAGTTAGCAGAGTGGACAATATGTCAAGATTGGCATGACTAAGAACAACCCATTTGGCCAAATTCTTAAATTGGAAGACTATAGGAAGCCAAATGTTTCCAGACACTTTCGCTTCGTGTATCTTCACAAATGAGTATTCATACCTGGGTCTTTAGAAGACTCAAGTTTTTAACCATTTTGGTCCAAGGGGGAAAAAAGGTATTTTTATGAATCCTGTGTAAAACTTTATGACCTATGTCTCTTCTTCCTTCCCTCCCTCCCTTCTTTCATTTAAAAAGTCAAGGACATTTAATTATCTCTCACAACAGGAAATCCGAGATAGATGGTCCCAGAGCCAGTGTTGCGGCTAAAGTGCGTACAGAGCACACAGCCTCCTGTCTTTCCCCGCTATTGTTTTCCACAGCAAGCTGACATTTTTCTGTCATGCTTCTCGCTGCACTGGAGACTTGTTTCTTAACTGGAAACTTTACAGTAGTAAACCTATTAAAACTTGAAAAGTAGAAGCTAAAGACTCCTAGAACAAAGATTCTAAATTTTTTTGTTTTTCTTTTTGGCAGAGCTGGGCATCAAACCTGGGACCCCATGCATGATAGGCCCAACTCTAACACTTCGTCTACTTTTGCCAAAGTGTTTTTCTTATCAAGTGCTTCCCATTCCACTCTAATTTCTGTTGAAGAGAAGACCGGGTTTAGTGTTGAATGACTTCACTGGTATTTATTAACGTGTCTATAACATATTTGTGGAGGAGCAGGTTAGTCTTTGTTACCAGTATAGTAATGGCTGCCGGAGTCCAGCTCCAGCGGGTTCAGGTCCTGAGAGGAGGTATGGAGTCGGCGACGAGAGAATAAGACGGACACTGAGTAGAGGGTCGGCAGCTCAGCTTGCCCATCTGAGTTATACCGAAATCACTTTACTTATGTATGTTTTGATTACACAAGGCTTTGGTAAGCAGTGGGTCCATACACAGTGTGTTCTCAAACAGTTAAAGAGCAAGCTGATATCATCTAAAAAACTATTTTAGACCACCCAGTTCTAGATACTCTTCCCGGTGCTATGTGAACTCTTGCTAACTTATCAGATTTACTTTTAAGGAACAAAAAGCATTTTAGAAAGGTCAGGCTACTTTATTAGGCCAAGTTTTGTCAGATCTCATTGTTGTGTGCCCTGCCAGTGTTGGCCAAGGGTGACCAGGTGCCAGACAGTGGGGCGCCTGTGTCATGAACTTGTTGATGTCCCAATCTCCCTCTGTGCAGTCAGGGCATATGGATGTCACGTCCCCACTACTCACGGAGGTATGAGTGAGGGGCTTTTCTGTAAATGCATTTACAATTTCTTCCTGTAATCCCGGCCTAGTAACCATTTCTGAAGTACTGACTTTTATCCTCTCAGTGATTTCCCGGGGAGCACAGCACCGAGGGAATCACTACCGCGGAAAGCGAAAGCAAAGGACAGAGTTGTGGTTTCAGCCACAGTCTCGGTTTCACTGGAGCTGTGTCAAGGAGCGAGATTGTGACCATGGCCTGTGCCAATGGCATAACCTATTTTTTAAATCGTTTAATTTTTTCTCTACCTCTGTTTCTTCATATGCAGTATGGGTAATCCTTCTTTCATCCTTCTACACGAGATCTTTGGAGGATTAAGGAGGACATTTTTCTTTATTTAAAAGGTAGCTGAGGCCGGGGATTTAGCTCATTGGTTCCACCTCCTGCCTCGCAAGCACAAGGTCCAGAGTTTGATCCCTGGTACCAAAACCAAAAAAATAAATAAATAAATAAAATAAAAGGTAGCTGAAAAGTTATTGCATAAATATGAAGAGTAAATTTATAGTTTATATAGCTACCTGATTTTCCCTTCTCAGACTATTGTTTTGGAAGGGATTATTCTCATTACAGTTAAAAGATGTATTTAAACTGTGATTTTCCTTAAATCATTTGAGGAGGAAGTATAGTTATCCCTAAATTTCCTTCCATTTTCAGAGGACATGTTAGTGGAACATAATGAACAATGTTTTTCCATTTTATTTGTATTGTTCCTGTGCTCAGAATGAATGGTTGATCGTTATACTTCGTGAAAAGTCAAAAGAGAAACTGGAGCCAAGGTGGAGTGTTTTCTTAGCAGTTTAGTCTATTTCAGGCTTCATTCTGCTTTCCTTGCTATCTGGATTAATTAGGCAGCCTGCTATGTCAAAGTTTAAATAAAAGACACATTTCTACTTTGAAAACAAAATGAAGCGTAAGTGCCAATGACTTGCTAATGTTTTTGTTCTCCCCCCCACTATCAAAAGACACCCGTTTATCAAACAACAAAACCCATCTTCCTTTGTCTTCCTCTTCTTTTTATTTTTTTTTGGTACCAGGGATTGAACTCGGGACCTTGTGCTTGTGAGGCAGGCGCCAGAACCACTGAGCTAAATCCCTGGCCTTCCTTTGTCTTCTTTAGATCCAACAGGGTGAGACTTTGGATCCCTGGCGGGACAAAATCAACCCTAAAATAGTTACAAAAGGAGGGACCCCTGGGCCCTCTACAGGCCCTTAAGAATAAGGCGTCAAAGTCTGGGGGATGGTGAAGAGGTAGGATAGAAAAAAAATTTTTAAAAAATAGGTAAGAAGGAGACAAGGAAATCATAACTGAAAATTATACTTTTAAGAAGATGCAGCTTCCAGGCCCCACCCACGATACCCAAGGTGATCCATATCAGTATTCTTTTGCTTCAATTTAGGCTCCTTCCCTTCCTGACCCATCATGCCCCCCAAATTTCTCAAGATAGTAAAAGTCCATAGATTCCAAAAACTTTTTAAATTATTTACTCAAACAAAATAAAACAAAACAATTGTGCCCATACCTGTAAAAAGGGCTAGTATCCTTCCTGAGGGGCAGACCACCTTTTCCTAGGGTTCCTGCTCCCTCAAGAGAAATGTAAATATTCCCTATTTTAGGGCCTCTCTCTCTCTCTCTCTCTCTCTCTGTGTACATTTTAATTTCTCCCTAATAAAACCCTTCCTGTGCCACTTACTGATTAGTCCTGAAAGTTATTTTTCTGTGCTGGGAGTCAGCAAACCTGCAAACTTATTCCACATGAAGGGTGAATTAGGGGAACCTCCTCAGACCCGTCTTCTGATAGTTGGTTAGGATGTCAGTGTCTTCATCATGTTCCCTGCTGGTTTGAGCCTCAGAAGACATCTGTCCTACCTGGTAACGGAGGAAGAGGGCAGAGCAGGCCTGGCCAACTCAAATAGAATTTCAAAGATGCAGTGGTCACCCTTCTGCCTTTGTTCTTATTCAAAAGGGGGAGGAGGTATAGATAGAAACTGTCTAAAACAGGCCAGACTGCAGGAAGAGGGCCCAGGGCCCAGGCCTCAGTCTGAAGAGAGGCCAGCCCTGTGAAGAGGCTCCAAGGAGGCTTCTTTTTTTTAACTTTTTTTTTTGTTACCGGGGATCCGGGGATTGAACTCCGGTCCTTGCACTTGCACTGCAGGCAGTGAAACCACTGAGCTAAATCCCCAGCCTCCAAGGAGGCTTCTTGATCAGGCCTGGCCTGGGAGTTCCAGCTCCAGCTTTACCTCAAAATAGCTATATGGCTCAGTTTCCTTTCAGGCCTCAGTTTCCATATGTATAAAATGGGAACAGTGACTATATTTACCTGCTGGGATTATTGGGAGGGTCAAATCTGTTGAGCAGCTGGGTGGGGGAACTCTGTAAAGTGGAAAGACAATTTTACAACCTTGTCGTAGTCAAGGGTGACTACTCAGAATGAGTGGAATTCTGGCAGGCGAGGGGAGAGGAGGCATGTCCTCAGGAAAAGGACAGTGTGGAGCCAGCCTAGTCCTCACAAGTCATTCACAAGCATATGTCCTGCACTCAGCTGCTGCCAGGCACTGGCCCTGGGGAGGCATGATCGGCAGTCCCTTGGACTAAGGCACAGTGGTGGGGTCCTGGGAAGTCACACCCACAAGTTTGGACTCTAATTAGGTGCCATGTTAGGAAAGGTGGTGACAAAGAGGGCTTCTGACAGGACAGCTTCAGGAGACCTGGGGGACCTTGGTCAGGGCTGAAGCAGGTGAGAGAACCCTGCCCTCCCCTCGACCTCCCCCAAACCCTGCACTCCCCCTACAGTCACTGCCCTCCCTCCTTTCTTTCTCCTCTCACCCCATTTCCCTCCCATAAATACGATGTTGGTCACAAACACTTCCGCCCACAGCTGGACATCTGTGATACAATGATACAGTGGCATCCAGAAGCCCACGATAAGGCCTGTGGGCCACTCAGAATCTGGCAGTCAGCTACAAGCGAGCATTGCCGGAAAATCCCTGCTGGAATGCTGGGAGTTGTATTTCTCAGGCATAGGCTTGTGCGTTGGCCCACACAGAGATAGGAGGGAAGTGCCTGGGTCGGTCTAAAACAGTGATTCTAGTCTGTGCCTCCAGAACGCACATACATTACTGATTCAAATCTTTCTGCACAGGGCTAGGGTGTAGCTCCATGGTACAGTACTTGCCTAGCACATAAGGTTCTAGATTTGATTATCAGCGTAACAAAGACAAAAATAAAAGGTGCCCCTACTGTTATCAATTGCTGGAGTTCTTCTGCTCTTCTGCCCAACTCCTAAGTGGGCAAAATGTCCAAGTCCTTTAGTCTTACCAGCCCTGAGTTTCAAATGTCAGTGGCTGTTAGCTCTCAGGGTTAGTGGCCTTCTACTCTCCTGACAGCCAGAGCCAGCAGCCACCAGCAGGCCTTGGAAACTCTTCCTGAGGCGGAAGATGCAGGGCTGCCCCAGCCACCTCTGCTGCCCTCTGTCGCTGGCCACTATGTGGTCATCCTTTACTCGCCCCAGCTGCTGGCTGCTGTGGGTGCCAGTGGCTCTTGGTGTTTCCTGCTCTTAGTGCACCAGCTTAGCATGATCATTTGGGATAGAAATCATGAATAGGCAGAAATATGGCATCAGCCTTTACCAGGAACTATGCTGCAATTTAAGGGGGAGCAGTGTGCAGACTGACCCACTAAGAGCATGCGTGGGAAAAGTTCTCGTAATAAAGAAGACAGTGGAACTGCAGGTTATTATGGCTTAGAGGAAGACTGTCTCCCCAAACGCTCCTGTGTGGGGGAGGTGACCAGATCGTGGGGTGCTGTTCTCACCGGTGGATCCAGCCATGGATGAGGTCAGCAGCTGACTGTGCTTTGGGGGTGGGGCCTGGCTGGAGGCCATCACTGGGGGTTATCTGGGAGGGTGTGTCCCTGTCCTGGTCCTCCCTTCTCTCTCGGCTTCCTGGCTGCCTTGACATGAGCCGAGCCCTTCCACCTGCCACTTCTGCCTCAGAGCCAGCTGCCCACGGAATGAACCCACTGAACCTGGGCGGAGGGGCCCAGGCAGCTCTTGGGTCCTACCCCAGTCAAGTGCTCCCTCAAACCCAGGGTCCTGACAGACTGCCCCTTCTGTCACACAGGCCACTCCTGGGACACTTGGCGCCTGTGCTCACAGGTCTGGTGGCTTGCTCGGCCCCTCCCCCCTGCTGGGGCTGAACCGGTGCCACCTCAGAAGCCAGACTGCATCCTGCCTACCCTGTGCCTCTTCTCATGAAGAGGACAGGACCCTCTGTGATCTAAGCCGTATCCTCTCTGCCCTCAACGCCTCACATGCCCTCCCTTGAAGACAGTGGTAAGTGCGGACTGAAACGGACTTGGGGAGTCACTTCCTTTTGTTTGTTTTTTTAGGCAAAGTCTCACTACATAACCCCGTCTGGCCCAGAGCTCAGGCACCTCCTGCCCCTCCTGCCCCAGCCTCCTGAGTGCTTAGGATTACACGTGTGTGCCACCGTGCCTGACAGTGACTCACTCTGAGAAACAGAATAAGGCAGCAGTGACGGGATGTCACCTCTGAGTTGGTTTACTGAAATCCTACAGCTTCTGTCACGCTCACCACCTGTTGTTTTCTCTCTTTCTGAAATCTTGTTCCAGGGAAGTCAGCTACCATCCTGTCTCAAGAAGAGGCCTGAGCAGCAAGGAGCTTGCTATGTCTTGGGTGTGGTTTTTCTACCAAAGGTTCATGTAGAAGATTGATCCACAGTGTGGTGATGTTAAAAAGTGGTGGGATCTTGCCAGGAGTGGTGGGGGAGGCCTGTAATCGTAGCACCTGGGAGGCCGAGGCAGGAGCATTGCAAATTCAAGCCCAATCTGGGCAACTTATTGACCTAGCAAGACCCTGTCTAAAAATAAAAAATTTTTTTAAATGTCTGGGCTGTATTTATTTATTTATTTTTGGTACCGGGGATCTGAGGATCGAACTTGGGTCCTTGTGCTTGCACAGCAGGTGGTGAAACCACAGAGCTAAATCCCTGGCCCAGGGCTATAGCTCAGTACAAAGGCTGTGGGTTCAATCTCTAGTACTAAAAAGAAGGAGGAAGAGGAGGAAAAGAAAGAAGGCAAACCTATCCACCCTACTCCTTCTCATGTTTCCTGTCCCCCCCCCCCCCGCCATCCTCTGTGCTATTATGCAGCACAGAACTCTCATCAGATGCTGCCACTATGCTGTTTGGACTTCTCAGTCACCAGAATCATGAATTAAATAAAACCTCCTTTCTTTTACTTTCTTATTCTCTTTAAAAACGAAAAACAAAACTATTCCATGACTAAGCTCTTTTCTTCATAAAAATATCCAGGCTCAGGTATTTTGATATAGCAACATCAAGTAGACGAAGACAGAGCCCATGTTCTGAGAATCAGCCAGTGCTTGGCAGCAGCTCATGCCCCCAGCCTCTGCTTTGCTGAGCCTTAATGCTGCCTGCAGCCTTGCAGGAAACTTAATTATAGGCTTGTGAGAGACCTGGAGACAGAACCACCCAGCTAGTCCACCCCAGATCCCCGACCCACAGGAACTATGGAATAATAAATGTGTATTGTTTTGTGTTTTTTTGGTTTGGCTTTGTTTTGGTTTTGAGACAGGGTCTCCTTATGTAGTTCAGGCGATCCTCCTGCCTCAGCCTCCCTAGTCCTGGGATTATAGGCCTGCACTACCACACCTGGAAAATGTGTGTTGTTTTAAGCATCTAAGTTTTGGGATAACTCATTACACAGTCATAGATAAGTAATTCACACTTCTATTTTTCTACACTTCGTTCTTTGTTATATTCACTCCAGTTTTAGCTCAAACACTGACTTCAGAAACATTTTTGGCACATTTCCCTCACTCCTTGTTCTCAGTCATATCATTGTGTAGATTTTCTTCTTAGCATTATGCAATCAGTTGGTCAATAAACATTTATTAAGCACTTCCTATGTTCAGTCATTGAGATAGTGGTGAACGAGTCAGGCAACAGAGAAATGCATAGCATGTCGGTGGTCTCTGTGTTCCTAAGGGATAAACGGGAATTTCAACGCAAGGTCTTGCTGCATCACAACATGGCAGGAGGCATCACATGGTGGAAGGGCAGAGGGAGCAAACCCACTGTGCGATATGGGACCCGCTCCCGCAGCAGCACCAAGAGTCCATTCATGAGGGTGGAGCCTTCCCAGCCTAATCATCCCCAAAACCGCTACAATGGCAACCAAATTTCAACATGAGCTTTGCAGGGAGCTCGCATTCGGGCCACAGCAGATGGCCTTGCAGTTTCCTTTTTAGTTGAACAGCCTTAGGGAACCAAGGCACAGAGAATCATGAGGACATAAGAATAAGGTGGGTGGGGTTCGGATATGTGGAGGGGATAAACTTTAAAAGATCTCCCCACATCAAAGCAGGAAGAACCTTGAAAGAGAACTTAAAACCAATGTGTCCCTAAGAGAGGGCTTCTGTGCCCTTCTCTTTCAGGATAGTTTGGTGACATCTGAGGAAAAGGGTTCTTACCCCCTTTTCCAGACAGGCAAGACCCCAATAGTGCCCCTGAACCTGGTATGACATGAGGGCTGTGGGAGGTGACCCAGAGGACCTGAGCTAAGAGCGAGGGCTGGGTGGGTTGTGTGAGGAGCTGACAGGAAGAACAGGAAGGGCGGCCATCTTGGCAGATGGTGGTGCGCAAAGGGGATGGTAAGGCCAAGGCTGTTCCATGTCCCTTCCCAGCTCCACTGTGGAGCAACCCCAGAGAAAGGGAGCAGAAAAGCATCAAAGTGGCCCTCAGGAAACACCTACCACCTGACAGAAGAGGAGTAGGAAATGGAAATGTAATAAAGCAAAAGACAGGATCACATGGCTTGCACATCTTTGCTGCAGTTTTGAATGGTTTGTTTCTGCAGTGCTGGGCATGGGCCTTGCATTTCGTGTGCTCTTTCTTTGGGCTGCACCTCAGCCCTGTGTTTTGTTTGTTTGTTTTTGATACCGGATATCGAACTCGGGTCCTTGCACTTGCACAGCAGGCGGCGAAACCACTGAGCTAAATCCTTGGCCCCATGTGTCATTGTTTTAACTGAGGATTTATAACATGCTTAGTACGCACTTTACAACCTTACCTCCCTAAATCCCAACTGCCCATCCTGAGTGTTACCAGCATTTCTATTTAATACAGGGGGAAACTGAGGCAGAGAGGGAGGTAACTGGCCCAAAAGGTCAAATAGCTAATAAAATCTGCAATTTGAACCCATGTATTCTGGGCTCAGAGTTCCTTATGTGCCAAGTACCCTGCTAAGTGCTTGAAAAACAATTCCCTTCAGCTCTCAAAACCACATGGGAGGTGGATTTTATATTTATCTGGTATTTACAGATGAGAAAAATAGATGCAAGGTAAGCAAATAAATAGTGCCAGGCCAAAGTCAAGTTTGCAGACAAGTTGTGGGTATGGGTCTGGAAATGAGAGCCTTCCAGTTAGGTGGTGTAAAACAACCACGTTGTTACACTCAGTGATGATGACGTTGGTCAGGAACTAGACACAGCTCACCTTTGCACAGCGTCCTCGCCCTCATCTGGGAAGACAGCTGTTGGAGGCGACTGGACTGCTGGGGCCTTGCGTGTCTGGTGGGTGACAGTGGGCTTTAGCTGGGACTTCAACTGGGCTGCAGCGTGTTCAGTTTTGAACTTCTTTACAGTATGGCAGGTGGATTTTAAAAATCCCAGAGAACAAGGTGGGATTAGTGTTTCTTTCTTTTTTTTTCTTTTTGATAATGCCATTTCTGCTCTTCTCCCTCAGCCAAGACAGTCATAAAGGAAGGGACTGTGCTCAGTCCGGTCCCTACCATTTGCTGGGAAAGGTCAGAATCACATGATAATGAAAAGCATGTGGTGTTGGAGCTTTGGCTGTGGCCATCTTTGGTAATGCAATTTGCATGTTCCCCAAAGTCCATTGTGTCTGTGGTCTTCAACCTCCACGGCATCCTAAAATCACTTTTTAAAATCCTGATGCCCATGCTATACCCCAGACCAGTTAAATCACAATCTCTGGGAACAGGGATTTGTGTGTGTGTGTGTGTGTGTGTGTGTGTGTGTGTGTGTGTTCGTCTGTGTGTGGTACTGGGGATTGAACCCCAGGCCTTCGCACTGAGCTACACCCCCAGCCCATTTTTATTTTTTATTTTGATACAGGGACACGCTAAGTTACTCACTTGCTCAAGCTAGGCTTTAGCTTATGATCCTCCTGCCTCAGCCTCCCAGAGTGCTGGGATCACAGGTGTGCGCCACCACACCCAACTTACGGGTATTTTCTTTAACTTCTTGGTAATGACGATATATGCAAAGCACATGGTAGTGTCATGAACAGCCAGTTGTGATATAAGAAATAAGCATTCGTTTTTCCTCCCAGTTCCTGAAACCCTTGGAATTTCCTGATAGGTGTGAATGAAGCATTTTTGTTATTTGTAATAAGCGACTTTCAACCATACTTGAGTTTGTACTAATGAGGTGCCTCTTGGGAGAGAGCCAGGTCATTAGAGGAACCAGCTTGTGATTAGAGTCAAAACTCCGCTCCTCCGGCCCCAACCCACAGAGAGGGAGAGGGGGTCGACTGTCACCAAGAGGCAAGAATTTAATCATCTTGCCCTCACCCCCAACAGGAACCCTAAACCAGGGGCTTGGAGAGCTCCAGCCGGTTTCCCCTTCACTGGCTCCGAACCTTGCAGGGTGCAGCTCTATGAGTCTTACCCTAGTCATTAGCCACTAAATGTGCATAAGTGCTTCCCTGAGTTTTGAGTCATTTGAGCAAACTCAAGCCCAAGGAAAGGGTGGGGGTCCCCGGATTTGTAGCTGGGCTGGGGAGTCAGAAGTACAGAGGCCTGGGCCTGAGATCCAGCCGCACGGGAAGCGGGGGGCGGGGTGGGGGGTGGTGTGTGCGGGCCAAGCTCGGAGGGGACCTCTGCACTCCCTCGGTGAAATCAGTGTCAAAATTAAATCCAATCGCAGGACAGCTGGTTGGTGTCTGTGAAGGACCCTAATTAGCAAGACAGACTCCATATTGCTGCTTGACCCACCTGCCTGCCCTTTAGATGAACTCAGAAGGAGAAAGCTTAAATCCTCCTCCCCTTAGAAAGTCTCTTTAGAAATAACAATTAATCAACTATTGTTTTACAACAGCAGGACGTTCCGCGCTTCTGTACCTTTTGCTTGCTTTACTAGTTCTATCCCATAGGGGGGCCTAGGAACTGCGGGCCTCAAAGGTGTATAAAACATGTTTGTCTCCCCCTAGTTGAGGCTCGAGTCCGATGCTCGGCTCGGGTCCTGGCTGGTAATAAACTCCTGTGTGGATTTAATATTGGTCTCTGGTTGGTTCTCTCTCACTGGGTACAACAGTCTGCAGAGAGCTGGAGAATCGCTTGATGTGGAGAACCCGCACATGTGATGGGAAAAGTATGTGAAGGTGTACAGAAAACCAGTGATCTTTAGCTGGACGCAGCTCCGCGTTTCCGTTGCTGTATTGCTGGGGATTGAACCAGGCAGAGTTGAAGCCCAAGCCCCTTTTTATCATGAGATCAGATCTCAGCAAGCGCCCGGCCTGGCATTTCCTTGTAGTCCTCTGGCCTTAGGCTCCTGCGTACCAGGGAGCCAGGCCCAGCAGTGAAGCTGAAAGCAGTATAAGTTAAAAATGCATTGGCAGGTGAGGGTGTGGCTGCCTACTTTGCAGGCACAGGGTCATGAATTCAATCCCTGGAACCAAAAAAACCCCCAAAAAACCATAGGCCGAACTCAGGGACTGTCCCCATGTGGACAGCCAACAAATACACATTTCCTTTTACCTCACAGCCTCAAGCCAGCTGTTTCTCCAAGCGGGCAAACTTGTGACTCCTGCTGTGTGCTCACCAAAGGTAAAGGACAGATGAGCTTTTTAAAGAAGTTAGAGAGAGGACCTGAGTTCGATCCCTGGTACCAAAAAAAAAATAAAATAAAATTTAAAAAAATA